AACAACAATTCCTTCCGAAAATAGTCGATGTAGACTCGGTTGAACTCTAACCAGTTCATACCCAGAATAACATCCAATTTACCAAGTGGTAGACAAATCAAATCCACTTCAAATTCGCTACCGAAAATAGTCAGCGGACACTTCAGGCATACCAAAGAAGTAGTCACTGAACCTATAGAGGGTGTCTCAATAGTCATTCGTCTCTCCAGAGTAGACGGCACCAATCCTATCCTCTCCACACAATCCACAGAAATAAACGAGTGTGTTGCACCCGTATCAATAATAGCAGTTAAAGGAATATTATTGATAATACAAGTACCTTTGATAACACGCTCATCACTGGCAGCTTGAGTTCCTGCCAAAGCAAACACTTTTCCACCAGCCGGAGACGTCTGAGGCTTCTTCGGCTTCTCACAATGGGTACTGATGTGACCCTTCTCACCACAGTTATAACAGGTCGGCATAGTTGCTCTGCAGTCAGCTATCACATGACCTGGTTTTCCACACTTAAAACACTTTTTGGCTTCATTAGGACAATCATTAGCACGGTGTCCCATACCACCGCACCGAAAACATTTCCCTTCAGCAGATGCTCTCCCATCTCTAGGCTTCTTATCAACAACAGCTTTACGTTTTCCCTTATCAGCAGCAACACCATAAGGAGTACCACTAAACCTCTGCTTACCCTTACGGTCATTAACAGCTTTGTAGTGTGCAATCCTTGCCCGGTTATCGTTATCATAGATCCTGCTCCTGCTTACCAGCTCAGGATAGCTCCTGATCTTCTGACAAGCAATCCCCAGCTTAATCTCTGGACGCAGTCCATTCTCAAAATTTAAGCACTTAGAAGTCATTGCCCCTTCCACATTATAGTGAGGACAATACTGCACCAGCTCCTCAAACTTAGCAGCATACTCTGCTACAGTCATACTACCCTGCTTCAGCTCTAAGAATTCAATTTCCTTAGCACTCCGAATATCTTCCGGAAAATACTTCTCCAGAAAACCCTTCCGAACTACCTCCCAAGTAATGGCAGTTCCAGCAGCTTCCAATCTTTGGCGACTATTGTCCCACCAAGCTTCAGCCTCACCCTCCAGCATGTGAGTACCAAACCTCACCTTCTGCTCATCAGTACAATCCATAGTTCTGAAGATTTTCTCAATTGCCTTCAGCCACTTCTGAGCAGCTTCTGGGTCCAGAATTCCTCCTTCAAACGTTGGCGGCTTGTTGCTCCGAAACTGCGCCAAACTCCTGAATTGGGCATCTGCAGTTTGATTCTGATTAGCAACAGCTTGCGCCATTGCTTGCATAGCAGCAGCTAATGCAGCATCGTTCCTTCCTGCCATACTGCTCAAAACATAACAACACCAGGTTAAAAGATATTCAACTACATCATAACGGACAGACTCAACTCGACTCAACAACACTGGCCGGACGGACCGACCTGCTCTGATACCAATTGTAACACCCCACTTCCCAAAACAAATAAAATATGAATAACATAATAAAAATCAGAGTTTCCTTCCCAAGTGGGATATCACATAAAAATCACGTTTCCTTATAAAAAGGTTTTTCTCCAAATACAGCGGAATATTTAAATAATACAATTAAATAAAAATTTTGATACGTTCGCAGGAAAAAAATAGGAGTTCAACATGAAACAATAAAAATGCCCAAGTCCCGTGCTACGTATCAGAGCATCCTAGACTCGACAGTCACACCAATATCCAAGCTAGCTAAGCACCTGGATTATCTGTACTTCCGAAGAAGCACAGACCACAACAACAACAAGGGGTGAGAAATCATGATCAAAAATATAATGGTAATGTAATACATGTAATAAGGCAGTAAAACACACCAACACATCAATTATTCACCCCAACAACACCATATAACGAACCTACTGTTCAAATTACAATATAACATATTATAATGCAATTATGCAACTCAACACCATGCATGCGGTACCGACTCATTGGTTCATTCAATCGAACCTGGATAGATCACTTACGCTCCTCCTGAGACATGATCTATCCCCCACCATTCTCCACAAAGGAGTACGGATGAATCACTTACGCTCCTCCTGAGACATGATTCATCCCACCAAAACACCATGATATGCAAGACACCAATGCATAATTATTATATTCTGGCACGCTAAGTGCACACGATCCTCCTGATCATATCATCATACAACAATGCATATGTATAGATATATTACACCAACACCATATAAATCAATCAGATAGTAAACGAATTCATACTATCACACCGGATATAACTACGTCCCCCCCCACTCGGGGATACACGATCCTACTGATCACTACACACATATACATTACTAATTGCTCACCAACAATATTAAGGGAAACGCGTACTATCCCCAAGTACACAAGTTATATCCCATACTCATCATTTTCACACTACAGCAAGGCTAGAAGGATCACACGAGACCAATTCAGACATCTCACCAAAAGTCTCTGAGGTTACTCAGAACCTCCCTAAACCAACACCTCAGCCTATACACCAAAATCAATAATTCATCAACATCAATCCACAATCACAAACATGCCAATAGATATTATACTTACCAATTATCCTATAATTTCTACTCTAGAACCGACATTACGGTACATTACCGACATTTCAGAGTCACTCTGAATCTCACCAAGGTCCTAACCATAGTCATTAACGACGCTATAGGGAAACAACACATAACTTTTCCCAAAGCTATAATCACGGTCATTGCCAACACTACGGTAACAACACATAATCTCATCAGCTTTATATTCCTAGTTACTATTAACACTACAGTAACATCAACAATCCAACAAAATGGATCAATACTACAGTAACATCATCACCATATATATATATACCCCAAAATGCATCATCAGCATTCATCAATCCCCCAACATCAACAATAATCATAGCATGCCAATATAAAACTTTATATAACGATAAATTCCTATGGGGTTAAGGAATCCCCTCTACCCTATACATGTATAAACCATTCCCAATCAAATTTCTCCCCCCTTACCTTGACAATTGGTCGATCGATAGAATTCCTCCTAGAATTGGTCTCTTGGCCTTCTCCTTCCTCTTCCGTTCTTCGTTCCCTTTTTCCTTCGTTCTTTTTCACTTTCCTCGTTCTTTCCTCTTCTCTCTTTCTATCGCTCTTTTTTCTCAATTTTCTAAAATGTATCGTAACTCTCCTAACCCCTCATATTCTATTTCCCTTTTTAATTATTCTAATCCCAATAATAATAACTAATAAAATAATATAATATTAATAATCTTAATAATAATAATAATACTAATATAATCTTACTAATATTAATAATACCACATATTAATAATAATAATAATAATAATAATAGTATTAATAATTCTAATAATAATAATAATGATAATAATAATAATAATCTTAATAATAATAATACTATTAATAATAACAATAATAATAATATTATTATCTCTCCAATAATCATAATAATACTTTTAATAATAATAATAATAATAACACTAATAATAATAATAGTAATAATAATAATAATAATAATACTATTATTATTATCACACCAATATCCCACGCCTATGGTAATCTCTTTCCTCCCCATTCCAACTTTTCTAATATCTCCTTGCTACCCCTTCATATTTCCTTCCTCACGGTTTCTATCGTGACTTTTCATATTTCCATTCTAACTTCCCAATAACCCTTTCACCTCTTATTTTACTTATTCCAACCACTAATATTCCCAATAATAATTCTAATAATAATAATTATAATAATCATTATAATAATAATAATAATATAATATAATATAATACTATTATAATATTATAGTAATATTCAACATAATAATAATAATAGTGATACACCCAACAATAATTATAATTATAATAATAATAATATTATCACACCAATAATAATAATAATATTAATAAAAATAATATAATAATAATATAATAATACTAATATTATTATTTCACCAAAATAATAATAATATTAATAATAATAACAAATATAATAAATATAATAATAATAATAACACCCCCACCAATGTTACTATTATTTTTATATTACTATATTTCACACCAAAATATCACCAATAGTCCTCCCACATTAGGGACACCCACCAAACATCATCAAATACACCCCCACCAAAGGGCACACCAACATATAATTTTTAAAATAATAATAAAGTGACTAAATAATTAAAATGGGTGTTACAGAAACAACCATTACTTTTACGCTGCTATCAAAAGCAGACAACATTCCAACTGCCTTGCCAACCTTAGGAACAGTGATGGCAAGCTGATATCTACCAAATCAGAAATTGAGGAGGAAGTGCTTAATTTCTATAGAAACCTAATGGGCAAGGATGTTAGCAGCCTTGACCACATTGATGTGGAAGCCATGAGAATGGGAAAGCAGCTGAACCTTGACCAATGGAATTACCTCATCAGAACCATTTCTGAAGCTGACATCACCAAAGCCCTTAAAGGGATAGGAGACCTTAAAACCCCATGGATGGATGGGTATGATGCTAAATTCTTCAAAGCCAGTTGTAACACTATAAGAACTGATGTGATTGCAGCAGTTCAGGAGTTCTTTGAAATAGGTAGAATCTACAAGGCCTTCAACACTGTTGTCGTATCTCTGATCCCTAAAGACCACAATGCTTGTGAAATCAAAGATTATAGACCTATAGAAATGTGTACAACTTTTTACAAGATCATCTCCAAGATTTTGATTGAAAGACTTGGTTCTGTTATTCCTAGTGTGGTTAGCCAAAACCAGGCAGCTTTTGTGCCAGGCCAAAACATTCATAATCACATCATGCTTGCAGCTGAGCTCCTGTTACATCAGGAAAGAGGGCACACCTAGAATCATGTTACAAATCGATCTACAAAAAGCCTATGATATGGTCAACTGGACTGCTTTGGAATGTATCATGAAGGAAATGGGATTCCCTAACAAATTCATTCAGTGGACTATGCTAGGCGTCACCACGGTTTCCTACAGATTTAGCATAATGGGGGAGTACACTGATACTTTACAGGCCAAAAGAGGGATCCGACAGGGTGATCCTCTATCCCCTATGCTCTTTGTCCTCATGATGGAGTACATGAATAGACTGCTGGTGAAAATGCCGAAAGACCAAAATTTCAACTACCATACCAAATGTGAGAGGCTGCAAATCACAAACCTCACTTTTGCAGATGATGTTCTGCTGTTCTGTCGAGGAGATGACATGTCTTTGCAGCTGATGTTAAATACTTTCAAGAAGTTCTCCAATTCCATAGGTTTGATAATGAACCCTAACAAATGCAAATTATACTATGGGGGTTTAGATATTGTGAGCAGAGAGAAGTTGAAGGATCTGTCGGGTTTCCAAGCTGGTACGCTGCCGTTCAAATATCTAGGCATCCCTGTGTCAAGTAAGAAACTGACCATTAACCACTTCTTGCCTCTGGTGGATAAAATTGTGGCTCGAATTCATCATTGGTCATCTAAACTCCTCAGCTATGCCGGTAGAATTCAGCTAGTCAAAAGTATTGCGGCTGCAACAGTTCAATACTGGATGCAATGCCTCCCTTTGCCTAAAGCTGTGATCAGGAAAATAGATTCCATTTGTCGTAGCTTCATTTGGACCGGTAAGGATTCTATTAGCAGAAAGTGTCTCGTGGCTTGGAATCGCACTTGCTGCCCGACAACTCAGGGTGGTTTAAATTTGTTAAATCTGCAGGTTTGGAACAAGGTGCTGCTCCTGAAGTGTCTTTGGAATCTCTGCAGAAAAACTAATAATTTGTGGGTTAAATGGATCCATACTCATTACCTGAAGGATAAAAGTGTGATGAATTACGAAACCAAAACTCACAACTCTTGGATTATGCGAGGTATTTTGAAACATCGAGACAATATGGGTGAAATCCGGAATGATTGGGATCAAATCGTGAATGCACAGAAGTTTAAAGTCTCGGTTCTTTATAAGGTAATGATTGATGATGGCACAAGGGTTCAATGGCGTAATCTGGTGCAGTTCAACAAAGGGAGACCGCGTGCAGGTTTTTGTTTATGGCAGGCTTGCCATGGAAAGCTTGCGACCAAAGACAGGTTGAAACACTTTGGGATGCTTGAGGACACCAGTTGTAACTTATGTCATTCCGAGGAAGAAACGATGAATCATCTTTTTTTCTCTTGTCAAGTGACCAGTCACATATGGATGGAAGTGCTCGATTGATTTAACATCTCTCATGATCCTCAACCGTGGGATGCTGAGATGATTTGGCTCACCAAGTTAACAAAGGGAAAGGGTTGGAAAGCTGAAATTTTGAGGATGTTAGCCGCTGAAACTATATACAACATCTGGGGATATAGGAATGACAAAACTTTTGGCAACACTGTAGATAATACAACCACGGTATCTAACATCATTGACTGTGTGATCTATCGTGGGTGGAACAACACTAGGATTAGGAAACATCTTGTTAATTTTATGATGTAACTTTTAGTCCATTTTTGTCGGTTGGATCCCCCTGGATCACCTAGATCTGTACTGTCGTTGTTTTTTGAATCAATATATTTTTTATTCAAAAAATAATTAAATTTAGTAAAGAATATATAATTTAGTTTTGAATATATGTTATTTATATGATATTTTTTATATATTTTGTTGTATATAAATTTGTGAAATTAGTTTAAAAATATATTATATATTTTTTAGAAAAGGCCATATTTTAAAAAATAGATTATATATTAATATACATTTTTTATTTTGAAAGTATGTAATATATTTTAGTAATATATTTATAGAAAATGTTTATTAAATCATAAAAGTATGTAATTTGTAAGTAAAAATATATTAAAAAGTATATATTATTTTGAAAACATTAAAGATATATTAAGGGTGAGGATCAACTTACTACAAGAGTAAGTTTTTTAACTTACTCCACATCATAGCCTTTAAATGAATCTAATCTAGTGGTTAAATTAACATTTTTACTTATAATTGTTCGATTAAATCTAATTTAAAAGATATGATTATGGAGTAAGTTATAAAAACTTACTCTTAGAGTAAGTGGATCCTCACTCATATATTAAATGTATATGTTAAAAAAGTATTGAGTTTTTTTTTAAAGTATAACTTTAATTAGAATAATAATTAAATTTAGTACAGAATATATAATTTAATTTTGAATATATGTTAGTTATGTGATATATCGATCAAAATTTAAGAATTTGTCGATAGATCAATTTCCCTTTTCTTAAATGAAAATTTGAACATGAACAACGTTGTGGATGTGCAGTATAGAATGTTATCGCTTATATCGTAGTTGGATGTATGATAGAACATATCTAGAAAGACATGGGCTTAAACCACATTTTAAAGAAGGAGTTGTTGCGTTTCTCACATATGTGTTTATTCAAGAATGTTGTCGAAGTGAATGAGGGGTAAGAAGCTTGTGTTTAAAGTGTGATTGCAAAAATATAATTAGTGACCCAAATGAAGTGAAACGTCATTTGAAGAAATATGGTTTTAGGCCAAATTATTGGTGTGACATTCTAATGGAGAAATAATGTCAGAGGTGAATATAGAGGTTTCAAGCAGTCAAACACATGTTAGGCCTGAGATAAATAGAGAGGCATCAAGCAGTCAACTATATTTGTAATACCATGAACAATTTAATCTCATATATGATATGTTTGGTGATGCATTAGGGGTGAATGTGACTTATAAGGAACCTCAAGATTTTGATGCAGATAAACTCTCGAACGAAAAAGCACAAAATTTATATCAATTGTAGAAAGAAATTAATATACAACTGTTTGAGGGGTCTTTTGACTCCAGGCTATCCTGACACTACCCACGAGAAGCGAATGAGGACGCGCATTCTAAAAAATGCGTCCCCGTAAACAATTAGGAAATATAAGGAAATATTTGTCATTCACCTCGATGGAGGAAGGTAAGTGTTTATGTTTTATATATTATATTTTAAATTTTAAATTTGAGTTATTTTTTTATCAATACAAACTCAAAACTTTGTTGTTTAGCCTTGTGCCTTCACATCAGACAATATCGAATATAACAGAAGTTATTAAAGAAAAGTATAAGAAGTTTTGGTTGACTTATGAAGCATTTTTTGATAAAGACAAGGAAGATTTGTTTAAGTTATTTTAGGTATAAGGCCGACTTATTTAAGTAATTATTTTTTTTTAATTTTCTTTATATTTATTTAGATATTCATGATTATACTTTATTTAATATTTTTTGAATTCATAAAACGATGTAGGAGAAATGTTGTTGGGACATTAGAGACCAAAATCAAATTAAAGAAAATTTTGACTCATAATGTGCTGCCTGATTATATGACATGCTTAGGTGTGTTAGAATTAATTGGGAGAGAAAAGAAACATGTCCATGTTAGATAGGTGAAGATGTATTTCAAGAGCTTATTGGCGCATTGAAATTTGGATACCTTTAAGCAAGTATCTGAAACAACAACAAAAAAGAGCATTTGAAGTTGGTGGCTGCAACTACGTAGCAGACAAAATTAGTGTTGCTGAAATTGCACAAAAGATGGTAAATTTATTTATGTTTTACTTAAATTTTCATTTATAATTTGGATTAAAACTAATTATTTTTTTACTTATATTTTCATTTAATTAGCGTAACGAGTTGGGCAGACCGTTGCTTTTTAATGAGAGTCATCTAGAGACTCATATCAATAAAAATAGAAATCTTGTCGATGAACGCTCAAGAAAGACTCAAGTAAGTTTTTCTTATATTTACTCATTTTATTTATTTCATTTATGTACCTACCTTATTTAAATTATGATAACATCTAATTTATTTACTTTTATAGAAGTAGTATAATAGTTGACTTGCCCTTAATTTATCATAGCATCCTGAGTTACCTCCACTGCCACTGGAATATCCTGTTAATCCTTGTCTGAATTTTCAGACTTGGTATGATGTTCCTCGCGAGAAGAGGAAAAATGGGAGAATGTATGATGTTGGATGGTATTGCTAAAAAAATCAAGCGGCATGATAGGAGTTTTAGAATAAGACTTGCCGATTGAGAAGGAACATCATATCGACCTATATTAACTGCTAATATGCTAGAAACTGTGAGAAACTTAGCGCATACCGACGCAGCAGCAAAAAAATACAGAAATGAAAGAAATGAGGAGAAGAGAAGCATAGATGGAGGAAGAATTGAGGAGGAAAACAATAGAGCATGAGGAAGCAATAAGAGTTGCAAATGAGCACGTATAGAGATTTGAGTAATTTATGACCTCACATATGAATCAAGGTTTTGGAGGAGGAGATGAAGAGGACGAGGAAGAAGATAATTAAATTTGTTAAAATATGAAACTTTTAATATGTATTTTTAAATTTTATTTTTATTTCATCTTTAATCATGAATTATTTTTATTTTGGTGGATATGAATATTATTTATTTTTATCTCACTTTTAATCATAAATTATTTTATTTTTTAATTTTATTTTACAAAATTTAAAAACATATATTTATTTATTATAATTGTATTATTATAATTATAACAGTATAGTTATAATATTTTTTATATAACATTATAAACATTAGTTAGGGGTTAATACCCACACAAATAATTAGCAATTTGCGAGGGGTTAATCTCCTCACAAATTTCAGAATATATTTGCTAGGGACTTATCCCCTAGCAAATGACTGACACACTACGCTGAGAGTTTTGCCCCTCACAAAAAGAAAAACATAGATGTATTTCCTAAGGGCTTATCCCCTAGCATAATACTAACATGACTGTGCCACTAGATTGTTCCTAAGTCTAAAGTTTATAAATAACATTATGCGAGGTTTATCTCCTAGTCAATTTGTAAGGAGATTATCACATCTCTCCTCTCAAATTTTTATTTTGTGAAAGATTTTTTTACATTAATGAGAGGTTTAATTTCTAACTAAAATCACTTTTTTTAATGTAATTATATATTCATACATAAATAATGTGTAACTCTTAATAACATATGCATGTTATTTGTCATCTAGAATCTTTTCCGACAATCATTAATTAATAATATCTCTATTGCTAAATATTTCTTCAAAAGTTTTCATCACCCTTTCATAGCTCTTAAACGTCCCTATCTTGTTATCCAAAAAAAAGTATCCTCATTCGTCACACACTCCAACATTGTGAAGCTTCCATGGTTTTAGCCATGTCCTTACTCCCAATTCAGCCATATATTCAATTGAATACATGAAATAAAAATTATATGAGAGAATATCCGCACCTCATCATCATGATCTTTGAGGCTTATATTATAGTATTTCATATATGAGCTGTTAAGCGAAGTCAAACTCCAAAAATTGTATAATGTTGAAAATTTTCCATGCTGTGTCGGCTTCGTTGTACTTGTATGTTTGCTACAATAGAATATAGCCAATTGAGTGTTGTATATAATAATTAGAGATAAAAAAGTTGGTTAGTTAAGGCTTCGTCGTCTTTTTGCTTCCACTGTCTCTGTTTATGGAAATCAATATTCTCTGACAGCAAATGATTGGAACATATATACGAAACAGCTATTCAAGACTTGCTTTTATATGACAGAAGTTTAGTGTGTAAAGTTAAATGCATACTATTAGCTAGAACTCAACTAAGCGAGAGTAATCAATTGAAGCATCCTACGTGTATTTTTTGTTTTGCACAAAAAAAATTGATTTTAAAAAATTAATTCTGATTAAAATTGAGTTATATGTAAAATTGAACTGAACCAAAATTTTTAATTTAAGAATCACGTTTATATTTTAAAGTTATATGTTTTAGCTTCAAATAAAATCAATTATAAAAAAGAGAATTAATTTTATTTTAAAAAAAATCAAACTTCACAAAATTATTTCAAAATCGATTTTACGTCTTTAAAATTACTTTTGACTATTCCAAAATATTAAATACATTATGAAAATTAACTATGTCTATAGATTATTGAATAATTTCATTGTGAAATTCATCCTTAAATGTTGTTATTATGCGGTAGTAGTCACTTTTTATAATGCTCTATTTACTTATATTTTATTTTGAGTACAATTGATTCTATAGACTCTACATATGAACACCTAAATTTTATTATAAAGTGAGTTTGACTATATGGATCAACTTTTATAATAATATTATATTTAAGATCATACTTTTATTCAACTCGCTAATCTTAAAAAAAACTTTAATAACTTCTCTTGTGATTTTTCTAGGTCTCTATTACAAAATAGATCTTTCGTAACATAATATTACAATGGTCGTCTTGTTAACCGTAGTAATAATTTATCTTTGGGTATTTTTCTTTTTGCTATTTACTAAAATACATTTTACTATAGTCAATGTTAACAATTGTGGTGAAATGTACCAAGAGTATAATGGTTCGAATCTCATCACCAATAATTTTCTATTTCTTCGTTACAAAATTGATTTGTCCATATATTTCATCACACTTATTATCATCGGTGGTGTAAGGTG